TCTCTCTATCTGAGGACCATTTGCAAAAGTCACATCACATACATGCTTTCAGCTATGCTCCGCTTTCGTCACATGACAGGTGAATAATGGGCTTGATTATCCGTGAGCTTCCGTTACAGAAACACCGCAGAACGTATGTGTGAATGAAAAATTCTACAGGGAAATGAGTGTCCTGGTATCTATAAAGAAAATAAATGATGTCACATCGTGCTGTTCGATGAATGTGAGTTGTGTCAACGCGGATACATGGCCACGGCAGAGGCAATGAGCCAATAGAGATCGATGGCGAGGGGTCAATTAGCAGGGGCTCGATGGTCAGCGAACATGTTAACGAGGTGCGACAAAAAGAGATCACCGATTAAAAGAAAGAGTTACTCATCAGGTATTAACCATGACCTATGGTCAACAAAGTGCTTTGAGAACCGTTCCACTTTCAGTGTTTTTATGAGTTCTTTTTCGATCTCGCTGAAAAGGCAATTTCAATGTAACTCAAGGAGTTTTAAAAATAAACAGACTGTTTTTATGACGTTTGGTGATATGCATGCGGCCACCTTTTGCATGTCCGCTGCATAGCAGACCACAAACGGAGAATTACAAAGTTTCGTGCAACGATCCCAACTGTGTTTCAAAATAAGTAAATGAGCAACGCTCAGACTACCCACCTTCCAAATTTTCTTCGTTTCGTGATAGAGGATCGCCGCTTATCTCTACGAGCTCGGAGAAGAATGTTTTCGTTGAGAGGGGGCGCGAAACACTGGATAAAACAACCACCTGAACTTGAATTTCTAGCTGAACTTCACGGAAACCCTGCAGAATCTGGTATTAAAATGATCGCAGAATCATGCTCGTCTCGAATCTGTCATCATCAGCGTTTGAACGCTTCATTTGGAACTCGTAGCTGAAGTGGAGGATTACGACGGTGTGATGTCCGCAGGTACCACCTCGGGTACTTTGAGACTCAATCTTGAATTCCCTCGAAGAATGAGGCCATAGAGAAGAATGAAAGT